TATTCCGCTAATGTGATGGTCGACGGAGAGTCCGTTAATCTAGATCTCTGGGATACGGCCGGTCAGGAGGACTACGACCGACTGCGACCCCTATCCTACCCAAAAACCGACGTCTTTCTCATATGCTATGCAGTGGACGATCCCTGGTTTCTGACAAACGTACTGATCAAATGGTATCCCGAAGTGAGACACCACTGTCCCAACACACCCATAATACTGGTGGGCACTAAACTGGACCTCCGGGACAATCCCGAAACACTAGACAGACTAAAAGGTCGCAAACAGACACCCATTACTTACCCCCAGGGCCTGGCCATGGCTAAGGATATCGGCGCCGTTAAGTACTTGGAGTGCTCGGCCCTCACAGGGGAAGGCCTTAAGGATGTGTTCAATGAAGCCGTACGTGCCGTCTCGTGTCCTCAGGTCAAGCCTAATAAAAGAAAGCTCTGTGTTGTACTATAAGCAAGATCATTAATTTGACATTTAACCCATTAAAGTGAATCAGTAACCCTTTATTTTAGCTATTTACATACTAAATTATTAAAAATTTAAGTTTAAAAATACACATTATATATGATTTAATGGAGACATTTTATTAATAAATAGAGAATCATCTTGCTTTAGACAGGAATAAAACATCACGGTATTTTTTAAAAAGCAGAATATTTATACATTAATTCTATAAAATATAATTGACTTGTTAGATATTTATTTAAACTAATTTACGGAATCATTAGAGAAAAATCAAATTTTTATAATAGAGAAAGTATTTTTATAATTTATGAACACGGTTTTAATTGACAATATGAGAATAATGTCTAGCTACATTAGATAATATTATTGGAGTAATAAGGTACAGTATAGTGACTATACTATAGTCCTATTGATTCAAGTTTATATAATCACTGTTTGCATAATCGACTCGTTCAAACTAATAATTCATTGAAAAGCATTGCATTAAGTGTGTAGTCGTCGGGAACCGGTTTAATGACTGATATATACAAGAATTAGTCATAAAAGGGATTTCCTGGAGATTCTCATTGAATTGTATTGCGAGCGTAGTATTGTGTCACACTTTTTGGCAAAACAAATACATTTTTATAATGCGCTAGCACATTTCAGGACTACGAATTGTTTAGTAGTCATCATCTCATTGAATATCAATTCAAATGAAATTATTTCTGTTGTGGTTTAGAGTCAAATAAATAGGCTTTCAAATATTGTAATTATTAATGATGTGCGAGTATTATAAATATTATAAGTATAGTCATTTTTGACTAACTTATTGTAACTTTTTTATATCCCATACCGTTGAAACATTAATAAGTTATTGATATGCAAGCAATTAAGTGTGTAGTAGTTGGTAACGGGTATATATTCATAAATTTGTATAATTAATACATATTTATTATGATATATTTGAAAGTAAAGTATACCCTACTTTGATTTGCACACTTTCACCTTTTTCAGAGGTGTGGGTAAAACAAGTCTATTAAAGTGTTATACGACGGACAAACTCCTCGACGACCTCTATAACGGTTGGACGGCCTATATTTCTGACTACTATTCCGGTAATGTGATGGTCGACGGAGAGTCCGTTAATCTGGACCTCTGGGATACGATGGGTCAGGAGGACTACGACCGACTGCGACCCCTATTCTACCCAAAAACCGACGTTTTTCTCATATGCTATTCGGTAGACAACCCGTCGTCCTTTGAAAACGTACGGATCAAATGGTATCCGGAAGTGCGACACCACTGTCCCGACAAACCCATTATACTGGTGGGCACTAAACTGGACCTCCGGGACAATCCCGAAACA